CTAGAGATTTATCCTGTGGAAGTGGCCTTGTCACTGAGCAGCGGAGCAGCTGAGCAAAAGCTAGGAACTGAGAAAACACTCAGGTCCCATGGGCTCATCCGAAATAGAGGGGGCAGTCTCAGACTAGAACTCCGGGCCTGACCTCCGACAGAGGTAACATAACCCTGCCTCAGAGAGGACACAGTGAGGTCTGGAACCCAAATGGCTTGGTGCTTGTTTTGTGCTATAAATCACAATCATTATTCAATAAAAAATTTACTAGAGAGAGAGAAGACCGATGATCAAGATCAAGAAAAGAAAAAGACAATAGAACAAATCAAACTTAGATGCAGCTACCGGAGACTGCAGAATGCACTTTTGGATAACTGAGTCACAGGTGCAAGATGTAACAGGACATTAAAAAGAATTTCACCAGAACCCTGGAATCCTTGAAAAATAATCCAACTGTAGACCTAGAAGCAAAAAGTAAGGCTGTGCGCGCAGTGGTGCATGCCTGTAATCCCAGCAGCTTGGGAGGCCAAGGCAGGAGGATAGTGAGTTCAAAGCCAGTCTCAGCAAAAGTGAGGCACTAAGCAACTCAGAGAGATCCTGTCTCTAGATAAAATACAAATAAGGTCTGGGGGTGTGGCTTGGTGGTTGAGTGCCCCTGGGTTCAATTACCAGTACCTACCACCCCTCAAAAAAGTAAATTAACTAAAATTAGAAATTCTATATGTGCGTTTGACAGCAGACCAAAGCAAATGAAGAAAGGATTAGTGAATTAGAACAGCACTTCACAAATTTTAATGATGAAATAATTAAATAAATAACTTAATTACTCAATTAATCTTTAATTAAAGATTAGGAGGGATGGGGCTGGGGATGTAGCTCAGTTGGTAGAATGGTTGCCTTGCATGAACAAGGCCCTGGGTTCAATCCCCAGCACCACAAAAAAAAACAAAAGAGAGAGAGAGAGAGCGAGATCACGAGTGAGCAGGTACAGGACAGGACAGGGCGCGAGAGTCTGAGTTTCTAGCAGTTTCCTATAGTTTGGATCTTGAACACACCGAAAGGCCCATGAGTGGAAAGGTTGGTTCCCATCTTGTGATGTTACTGGGAGATGGTGGCAAAAAGAAGTTAGGTCACTGGGAGTGATGCCCTGAAGGGGACCTGGGGACCCAATCACCCCCTTCCTCTCTTGCTTCCTGGCTGTCAGGAGGTGAACGGTCTCCTCTGCCACACAATCCCACCACGGTAACCAGTGCAGCCACAGCCTGAAACCAGAGGAGCCAACTGAGCATGAACAAGAACATCTGAAACCACGAGCCAATATAAACCTCCCATCTTTATAAGTTGATTAGCTCAGGTATTTTGTCACAGTGACAGAGAGCTGCATAACACACAGCCTCCTGGGTGGTAACTGGTGCTGCTCCTCAGGGACCAAGATGCTGTTGTATTGATTCTGAATATGAAGTAACTAGCAGGGAACAAGAAAATACCCAGACAGAAATACAGAGAACAAGTATGGAGAGTATGGGAGAAGACACACCAGACATTGAGGGACATAATGAAAATATCAACATATACCATTAAAATCCCAGAGGGAGACATGGGAGAAAATGAAGCAGGAAAAAAACCTCTGAGGAGGATGGTCGAGGTTTCCAGACCTCATGAGAGAGCCCAAGGAAAGTCCTCCCAAGTGAGATGCGCTCAAGCAGCAGGCCACGCAGGGAGGGGCCATCTCAGTGAGACCTGTGGGGGCAGCTTCTATCCCACAGAAACCCAGGGAGACCCACAGAGTTCTTGAGAAATTACTTCAGAACACACACACACAAGATTATAAAAGTGCAAACACAGATTAAAAGGGGGCAGAGGCTGGGACAGGGCTGTGATGAGTGTGTGCCCAGAGTGGGTGAGCCCTGGGTTCCAGGCCCGGCCCTGCAAAGCCCACACAGGACAGAGCCCAAAAGGAAGAGAGGCTGCTGGACTCCTGATATTTATGGCAGGTCAGGCTGAGAAATCAACCCACTGCAAACACGCGCTTCCCTTCATAAAACCGAAAAGTCATCTCAAGAGGGCAGGCCAAGAAGTCGGAGGGCAGACCGATGTCAAATTCACAGTCCCACGTGGGGTCATGTGGGGACGGACCTAGGGGCGAAGGGGATGAGGGAATTTGGGGGGCCAACTTAGAATCCAGCTTACCCCAACAGGCAACTCTACAAATATTGAAGGAAGAAATAAACCAGTTCTGTGCAGAGTCTTCTAGAAAAATGTAGAAGAGAAAATATTTCCCAAGTCGTTTGATGAGGCCAATGTTACTCTGATGTCAACATCAAGAAGAGATTCCAAGGAAACCACAGATCAATACCTTCCATGGACAACAGTGCAAAGTCTTCATAAAATATCTCCAAACTCTCAGAAAACTAGGAGGAGAAAGGAACTTCTCTAACCCCAAACCTGCCACAGCTGACTTTTACTCAGTGCTGGAATGCCCTGCCCTCAGGTTTGAACAAGATGAAGGTGGTCAGTTCTATCTGTGAGCATGCTGGCCATTTTGGCCAACCCAGTGAAAACACGGAATAAAAAATTCTGAGGATTGGAAAGGCTAAAATGACACTATAACCATCTAATGACATAACAGCATACATAGAATCTAAAAATACAGAAAGCCAATTAGAATTAACAACACAAATAAAAGGTAAATACATTTAAATCATCCAATTCTAAATGACAAAAATGAAAATAATATCAAAGAGAACGACTTTCAGTGATCTATGAGACTCGTATGCAGATGACTCTGAAACATGACTGACACAAGCTGGAGAAGATCAAGATCCCTGAAGAGAGATTTTCATTCAGAATCAGAAAGCTTTATATGCCATGTTAAGTGCTCTCAGAATGCTCAACAGGATCATCATCATCCTAAATTAAAGTCCACAGAATTTCCAGTAAAATTTGACAAATTTAGAAAAGCAGAGGAACAGAAATAAGTACAATAATTTTCAAGAAGAGTTGAGGGACTGGGGATGTAGCTCAGTTGGTAGAGTGCTTGCCTCGCATGCCCAAGGCCCCGGGTTCAATCCCCAGCACCACGCACACACACTCTCAAACTCACACTCACACATAGACACAGACACTCACACTGGAACTGTACTAGCTGTCAGAGGGTCCTGTCGTGCTGTGAATGCATTTCTCTCCTCTTCCATCCCCAGAGCAAGCCACTTTCCATCATCCTAACTCTGTAAATTGGTTTGAACTGTTTTTAAACTTGATGTGAATGGAAGAATTTATCAGTGTTTGAATTTGACTTTTTTTCTAAATATTAAGTTGGTGAATCTAGCCTGTTTTTAAATGTAGCTGTAACTTAACCATTCTCATGGGCAAATAGTGTTCCATTGCATACAGCATGAATTATCCGTCTTATTAAAATGGAAGTAGGTATTTTCAGCATGTAAATAATAGTGTCACTGATACAGCTGGCAACATTCTTGCTTTTACCCACTGGTTTGAGAAGGGTTTTTTTGTGTTTACCAAGGAGTGTGATTGCTGAGTCATGGGAAATGTAATGGATTGACTTTACTAGATTTTGTCAAACAGAGTTCCCAAGTAGTTGAGTGACTTTACAGTCCCCATGGCAAGGCATAGAAATTCGGCAGCGCTTGGCAGCCCTGTTTCGGTGTCCACACGTGGCGGCATCCCCTCGGCTTTACATTCCCCTGTGGCTGTGGTATGGGGCACAGGTTACTAGCTACTTGCGTACCTTCCCCTGAGGTGCAGTTTGGGTGTTTTGCCTGCTCACCTGCGTGCCTAGCAGTTGGATTTGTCCCCACCCAGTTCACAGGAGTTGTATGTGACATGGGTGCTGCTCCCCACAGGCGGAGGCCACTCTAGATTCCCCCACCCTGCGGCCTGTGTCCACGCCCTCCTCCTGGTGCTCTGAGAGCCACAGTCTTCATTTGAGCCTGGTGCAGGTTCCTGTCTTGTTAGAGTCCTGCCGTCCGCGTTCTGTTTAAGAAACGGTGTCCTTCTCCACGGCGTCATAAGAGACCCTCCTTTGGACTGTTCTAGAAAGCTTCCACCCTTGGACCTGTCGCCTCCCTGGAGCTTACTCCTCTTGTGGCAGGAGGTGCACTAGGAGGAGGTTCAGGGTTTGGTTGTGGTGCTTTCCCGAGAGGACTTCCACTTGAGCCAGTGCCATGTATTGAAAAATTTCATTCTTTCCTCGCTTCTCTGCTTGGTCACCTTTATAGTAAATTGAGTGTCTGTGTAGGTCAGGGTCTGTCTTGGAACGTCAGTCTCTCTGTTAATCTTTTCATCAGCACACAAAGTGGGTTACCATGACTTCATCATAAGTCTTGGTAGTGCAACGTAAATGTTGCAACTTTTGTGTGTGTCTGTATATGTGTGTGTGTGGTGTGTGTGTGTATGTGTGTGTTGTATGTGTGTGTGTATGTGTGTGTGGTATGTGTGTGTGTCTGTGTGTGTGTGTGGTGTGTGTGTATGTGTGTGTGTGGTGTGTATGTGTATGTGTATGTGTGTGTGTGGTGTGTATGTCTGTGTGTCTGTGTGTGTGGTGTGTGTGTGTATGTGTGTGTGTCTGTGTGTGTGTGTGTGTGAGAGAGAGAGAGTGTTAATGGGGATGGAACCTGGGGCCTGCTAGGCTACTGCAACTCATGCTCTCTGCGTTTAATATTAGATATTTAAATTTAGACATTTAAATATTTAAATGCTGCCTAATTTTGAAACCTCCAACAATCTCCTACACGCAGGCAAATACTGCATAATAGTTAATTTTTTTTTTCAGGATGATATTTAAGCCTCACTCCTCAAACGAAGAAAAAGGTGATATTTAGCCATCTTTAGTTACCGAAGGTCATTTGACTCTTCTGTGGTCCTGCCCCCTACCCTGATTCCAACTTGGGATTCTCATATTTTGAAACTCAAGGGTTACCCCATGAGCCAGGACCCTTGGGCGGGCATTGCATCGGCACCAACTAACACCTAATGAGGAAATATCTTACCACTTGTGCTGGCACCTGCTCCAGTTTTGCAGCAGGAGTTCCGGGTCTTGGGTAAAACTGGTTAATAAAGAGGCTTGGAAATTTGTACTCTTCAACCAGCTTCACCGTTTCTTGAAAATCCTCATCTGTTTCTCCAGGAAAACCACAGATGATATCTGTAGCAATAGTTATTCCAGGAACTCTAGAAAATAACAAGACAAGAGAGTAAGAGGTTGACGGCAAGCCCTAATTATTCCATTTCTCTGTCAGGTTAAAAAAAAAAAAAACCCAAAACATTATTCTTTACATTTTAAGAAAAGGAAATTCGCAAATCATTTTTTAAAAGTCCTAAATAGTAAAATGTTGAGGCTGATCTCAAATTTGGGATCTTCCTGCCTTGAGAGTCCAGGGGAATAAAGGCTTGGGCACACACCTGACTACGGTTCTACCAATAAAGCAAACAACCACTGGTTGCCGTGGAAACACTTGAGGAAGTTGTTCAGATTTTAAAAATCGGCGCAGAGTTCAGGACTGAGAATGTAACCTCAGATTATCAGAGACGTGCTGGGGTTGATCTTCCTTAGCTTCACCTTGGTACATGCACATGGAACTGGGTACTTTTCCAAAGAGGGTGGCAGGAGAGAGACCGATGAGGCCCCACACAGTTCTTATAGGTGCTCCACAATCCTCTCTTCATAGACTTTCAGGTTACAAATTTTCAATGTTTTAAAATTTCATGATTTTAGGTCTCTAAACATTCACACAAGGTAAGGCCCAGCGGAATCATTCTGTCAGTCTAGGAAACTATCTTGTTTAATTTCTTCTGCAATTTTTCTTTCCTAAGGATTCCACATTTTTGAATGTTGAGACTTTAGGATTGGTCCTCAGTTTGTTCTTATTTTTCATGTTTTAGCTATTGTTCTATTTTCTGGAAGATTTACTTAAGCAACTCTTTCAACTGTAACTGAAAAAAAAAAAAGTATTGACTCACTCCAGCAGTCAGTCCCTCTTTCCTCCAGGTGCTGGTACTTGGTCTCCCTCATGGTTTGAGACATTCTATGAGAGCACAGTGATTTTTGATCTCCCTTCATTTGTAAGGGCAAAGCACGAAGAGCTTTTTATCACAGAGTGACTGGGTAGCAGGTGCCTTTGTCTTTCACAGGCCCAATGTGAGGGTCTCGGGGTCATTTCTGTGTGGGCCAGTTTCTCCAAAGTATGCTACAAAGTCCTCTCGTACTTCAACAGCAACAACTTAACATTAAACTTTTGAATAAAAAATGTATTAAAAGAATTCAAAAATTTAATATTATTCTGAATCCATGAACAAGAAAAAAAAAAACATTTCAAATCACACAATAAAAACCCACATCAGATTTCCTATCATATAAATATAATTCTATATAGATGAATTCAACAGTTTGGGGGCAGAAGAGAGAACAGGGATGTTTTATGGAGGAAAGTCAAATCACTAAGTTCTCCATACAGGCACCACCATAAGAACAACAGTTTTCCACACTTTGCACACTCAAAGAAGGATGAAAAATTTATTTAGGAAATATTTCACTTCTGATTTCTTCTTTGTCTCATCTAGCTATTAATTTGGCCAAACTTTAATTAGTAAGACAAATTCCAAAGACTAGAACTTTTCTCTGTGGCAAAAGAAAAAAAATTTTAATTTTACTGATATAAATGCATTTTTCTTCTTTAAAGGGCAATTATCAAAACTGCATTTTAAAAAAGCATAAAATCATATGCTTCCTACAGTAAGGTGCAATAAAAAGCCCACTTCTCTGGACTAACTGAAGCATGTGGAACAGGAAAGTTACATAAATAATATTCAATTAGCCAGACTTCCACTTGCCTTTTAACTACACCTAATCAAAAGAAATTCACAACTAAGAATAGAAGTAACAGATCATAGCAGATAATGACAGAGAAGCCCGTCTCCCCTGGGAAATTAGAAGAAAAAGAATGCCAGTGAAAGACTGCAGAGACAGAGACAATTGGTCCTTGTCCCAACCTATGAATTGGAATGAACTTGGCAATACAGCGCAGGGAATTCCCGCAGGAAAGCCCCTTCCTGATTTCCGCTGTCCCCCTTGATCCTGCCCAGCAGAGCTGGTAACATTAAGCAACACCTGCTGACTTTGGCCTCGGGGTCCAGTGGAGTCATAATGTTAACAGAGGGGATGTTCTGTTCACCCAGGTATTTGATAACTGACACAAAAAGTGGATCAATGACTCAGGAGGGGAGGGGTTGGCATGATTTAGTGACTTATTATAGTCAATATTTTAGAGCAGAAGCAGTTTAATTGGTTTCAAAGTACATAAGAACATAAGTTAATTTCTTTTTTTAGATTTATATCAGCAAGGTTTTATTTAGAAAGAAAACACATGGCAGTAAAACAAAAACAAATCCCCCCTAAAACAAACGCAAAGCCTAGCGTCCCATCCACTAAACAAGATGAGCTAATTTCCTAGACCATGTTTTGAAAGTGAAGGCTACACATTAGCGTGAGGTGAGGCTCATCTATCTAGACATTAATTTTATATATGCAAATGATGCTACTTACACTCTTGAAAATCATTTGGCCCCTCAGGAAAGCAAATCTCATACTGTTAATTTACGTAGGAAATAATTCTCCTATGTATGGGAAAATCACAGAAATTTGAAGTGGAGCAAATTCTAACAATATCACATGATTTAAGTAGCAAAGAAGAAATCATAAGGAGTGTAAAAGAGAATATTAATCCAACTATGCAAGATGCTAATTCTGGATAAACACTGTGTTTAAGATGTATGAATTTTCAAAACATTCAAATTTTTAAAATTATCATTTCCACAATTTTACTGAAGCTATGAATGCAATGTATGAGATCATTAGTTTATGTTTTAAATTTTTTTAAACTTTCTATATTCATGTTTTCATAGTAGTTTCAGAGAATAATTCTGAAAGATAAAGATAAAAAAAATGTTCAATTAGTTTAAGTAACAGGGAAATTTTGACCCACTCTTTTTCTATCTTACATTTACTGGCAAAATTGGTTTGTTAAATAACTTGGAATGGAATAAGAAAGATTGCAATTATGCACCTGACCTTATTGGAAGCAGTGATATGCTCAGTTAGGAAAATATATCAGGAACACATAAAGGGAGGACATACTATTTGCAAGTTCTAGGCTGGTATTGAAGAATCCTTAAATATTTCAAGAGTTTATTATTTTGCCTAGAATAAAAATATGTAAATTTACACACTTTGAACACTTGAGATACTACTTAAAAGGTACTTTAATTCATCTCAAGACTTCCATTTGCAATTTGTTGTTTTACTGGCAAAAACATGAAAAAGTGATGCTATTTTAAATCAATAAATTATGAGCTTTGAATTCCATGTGAAAAAAGTAGGACCAATGCAAAAGCTGCTTATCTCCAGAGTCAGAGATCAGAGCCATCAAAATTATATAAGCATAACTAAAACATAATTAAAAGACATCTTTTTGAGTCCTGCCAAGATTTATTTCAGGACAATTATTCAAAACTTTTCAGAAAAGTAAACTGGAGGTAGACAGGGAACACAATATCTTGAACTGAGTAGAGTTGAAAACATGTAAATATGTGCTATGCAGTTAATGCACTTCTTAGAAATTCATAGAACTGGTATCTAAGAAAGGTATAGTCAATAATCTAAGCTTTTAGTCTCAAGAAGCTAATAAAGAGGAGCAAACCTAACTCCAGGTAAAACAGAGATGAAAAAATAAGAGAAGAAATCAATGAAAACAGAAGGAAAAAAAAATCAATAAAAGCAAAAGTTGTATTTTTGTAAAGAAAACTTCAATAACTTACTAACTAAGGTACTAGCTGCGCCAAGAAGGAGGATCATACAGATGACCACATCAGGCATGAAGGAGAGGATGTCACCACAGATGCCACCAACATTAAGAAAACATTCAGTGTATCATAACAACTATGCCAACCCATTCACAATTTAGATGAATTGGGCGAATTCTTTGAAAAATTAAGCTATAAAATGGGCTCCAGAAAAAAAAAAACAACAGAAAATCTGATTATACTATTACAAAATTGAATTTGTGATTTAACATCTTGTCACTGAGACAAAACAAGGCAGACTCAGGTGGCTTTAGGGTGAATTCTATTAAACATTTAAGAGACAGTAAAATTGACCACAGAAACTATTAAGAGAGACGGGAAAAAGAACCCATTATGAGTCCAGCATTACCCTGCTATGGGAACCCAAGATGAGCAGTGATTCTAGACCAGTCTCTCTCAGAGCAGGATCAGGGTTCTTAATAGTATTAGCAAACAGACTCAGCGACAGGGAAGGAGGACTGTATGCCATGACCCATTTTAACACAAGGCTGGTCTGACACAGGCAAATACCCTCAATGTGATGAACCATACTCAAGGACTTTAAAAGGCCTCCTGGGAGTTTAAGAGATTCAGAAAACTCCCACGACCCAGCAGACATCCATGGCACCTGCAGCCCCTATACTTATATGTGAGAGACCGAGAGCGTTTCCAGGATTGGCAATGGCCAGAGCATCTCCGTCTCCTTCTTCAACCCAATCGACCAATGGGCGTGTCAGCACAGAGGAGAGGACGGGGGTGAAGGCATGGCCGCTGAAGGGGGAAGGCAAGTGTCCCCAGGGCAGGTGGCATGAGCTCATGCTCAGAGACTCTAAGGAACCCAGTGACCTTCCAGAATGAGAGAGTTGAGAGGCAGAGGCCGAGGCCAACACGCAAAACTCAGCTGAATTTTTATATCTCAGGAATGATCCATCTGAAAATGAAGTCAAGAAAACCACAGAATAACTAAACCTACGAATAAATTTGAGAAGTGCTGTATGCTACAAATGAAAGAAATAAATTTTCTTAAAATTTGCAGAGAGAAATCAAAAAGAAAAATAGAACATTCTCACTGAGTGGAAGATTGAAATCTCTTTAAACTGGTTTAGAGATTCAATGCAGCTGCTAACAAACACCAGCATGTTTTTCTACACAAGTTTACAAGCTGATTCCAAAATTTATATAGATAGGCAAAGAACTTCAGAAGAGTGAAAACATTTTTTTTTAAATTGGTAGAATGAATGAATCTGATGTAAATATTTATTATAAATTTTAATAATACCAATACAGTGTGGCAGCAGTTTTCAACAAAACTGCCAAAGCAACTCAATGAGGAA